AATACACAGTCTGCCAGTTGAGATTCAAACACTGAACCTCAAGAGGACTTAGAAGGAATACCAACCCTCTCCGAAGTAACGTTTCTACACTTCCTGTCGGAAAGTGTTTGCTCAGACGAAAGCCTTAGTATTTTACGATAAGTATTAAATATTTTATTTCATGTACAACACATGTAGTGCCACGGTGGTCTAGCGGTTAGAACGCTGGCCTTGTAATCCTGGGGTCTCGGGTTGGATTCCCAGCGGTGCCCGAATTTATAACTTGTGTTGGGCAAGGCCGTGGTCTAGGCAACACGGAGTTTTCTTCCGGGGGCTTCCCCGGTTTCTCCGTGGCATCCCAACAATTACTCCATTCACACACAGAAGAAGGCAATGGCAAACCACTTCTGGATCATCTGCCAAGAACGCATATGAACAGGTCCCAGTCCGAGAAAAGGATGGAAGGATCCTGTTCATATGGACCTGGCGTCAGACAGAACACTAAATAAATAAATAAAATTTACTTCATATACCACAGACCCATCTTAAGCGTAACTAATTCAAGTTGATTAAGCAATGTCTTAATCAAACTTTACGCAATTGTAAAGCATATATAAAGGAAATATTTAGAATAAAGCCAATATATAAACTTCCTTTCCGTATAGACGTATTTACGTCAAATTCTCCGGAACAGGCAATGGCAACCCACTTCTGGATCATCTGCCAAGAACGTATATGAACAGGTCCCAGTCCGAGAAAAGGATGGAAGGATCCTGTTCATATGGACCTGTCGTCAGACAGAACACTAAAAAAAAAAATGTTGCACTTCTTCCGTTATATATTATTAATAACTAATATTAATGCTGTTTCTGTCTTTGCGTAAAGAATTTGCAGAAATGTATAATGAAGTTATGAGCTGGTCCTCACTGGGTGCAATCGGAAGGCGGTAATTATTAGGCCGTCACAAAACCGGGAAATATAGGAAAATCTTATTTGAACAAAGGAGACTCTGCTCTTTAGGAAAACTTAACACAGAACGCAAAGAACAAATCGCACTCCACATACCGGAACCTGCAATTTTTTCCTCTTTTCCTCCTCCGCTTTTGTGGTCGCCCTCGACTTCAGCTGCGTTAGACGATGGGTCATTTTTAAAATTTATAAGCCACGAAAGATCATTATCACTGAAGTCACCGGTGTCATTTTTGTGTTGAAATTCTGCCACTGAATGTTGCGTCAGTGCAATGGATTCAGAAGAGTCTAAATTGGAATCTGTGCAAGTATCAGAAAGCTGCTTTAAAATACTGTCGATATCCATAAGAGAAATTTCAATTCCTCCATTTTCATTTCTGAGAGTACAAGACTCGTTGGTGTCAATGTCCTGTGTTGCCACCCATTGCAAATCTGCAGTGTTCAAAAGAAAAGTTTGTCCATTTGAAGCCACTACTTCGATTGTGGTTGGAAGGCCACAGTTTTCTGTGCTCACACAATCTTCGTTCTTCGACTTCTTCGCAAGCGTTGAATTCATTTCTTCAAATAATTTCCTTTTCGTCCCTGGGCCAGTCAGTTGATTTGCTTGAGTACTGAAGCTCGATGTATTTACCGACGTTTTGGTGATCATTATTTTCTTCAGTAACACGTTCGATCAACACAATTACTATAAAAATCTTCTGTACTTCTGAACCTTTTTTCAAGATTAAGTGACCTCGATGTCCGCCGGCAATAAACAGTTCAATCAAAATTAAAATGGTGAGAGTGGAGGGCAATATCACAAATTGCTTTATAATTCTTATGTACGATAAGTACTTGAGTAATTTTGAAATGTTTTTAACAGCACAAAATTATCTAGTTCACGAAGTACTTCATCCACAAGCGATTCACAGCTCTGTTCTTTACACACTAACAAAAGCCGATTGTTGACGGCAATATATACTATTGAAATACAACAATGACGAGTAAACAGATTACGAAACAATTAGTTTCTTAGGTAACGGAATGGAGTTCAATGCGGTTCATTCAGGCTATTATACTGCATGCGTAAGGCATTCAAACTATCCATCAATCAGAGACCAATATTCAGATTTCACGCTGTCCCTCCCCGGCAGTTGTACTACTTTTATTAGTATAAAGTAAGGCTTATATCAAGCAGTATTCGTCGAGACGAGTATCTGTGATGCCAACACTAACAAGCAAGCTGTGCACTGTGTTCATCGTATGTGGATATTGTCTGTGTTTCTGTCACTAAAAGTTACGAAAGTCACTAAAAAGCATTAATACGAAGTCAGTAAAGTACTTCTGAGAATTGTAAAAGAGTATCAGATTAGGTACTGGTTCTAGTTGAATATTTTTGACGTAAATACATCTATATTTTAGGGTCAGTGTCATTCGGCAAAAATGTGTTACGAAAAGTGTTACGAAAAAGTGTTACGATAAAGTGTTACGAAAAGTGTTACGAAAAAGTGTTACGATAAAGTGTTACGAAAAGTGTTACGAAAAAGTGTTACGATAAAGTGTTACGAAAAGTGTTACGAAAAAGTGTTACGATAAAGTGTTACAAAAAAGGGAAACGAAAAAGTGTAACTTCATTGTTATGTTACCTAGGAAACGTAAAACTTCATTGTTATGTTACCTGGGAAACGTCATCTGTTTATCAACAAATAAACAACAATGGTTACTTCGGAAACCACAGTACATTAGATTACCTTACATTACATTACATTACTTTACATTACATTCAGCTACCACAGACCCATCTTAAGCGTAACTAATTAAAGTTGAATAAGCAATGTCTTAATCAAACTTTACTCAATTGTAAAACATGTATAAAGGAAATATTTAGAATAAAGCCAATATATAAACTTCCTTTCCGTA